GGGATAATATTAACCTGTGTAACAAACGTGCAGACATTGTTCATCCGATGTTTTTCTATTTTTCCTATTTAAAGTGAATCGCTTAGAATGTAAATAGAAAGAAAATCTGTTTCATTTTTTTCAGTACCACTTCAAAGTTATGATCTGATTAGTCTAAATCCTTAATCCTTAATTAAAACATTAAAAAATGGAGGTCTGTTTCATCTTAATGTAGATAGCTAGATAAGAAAAGATAAATGCCAGCATTGACAATAAAACAAGCATAGAATGATTTGCATAGATGCCCCTGCTCTTAACACAATGTAAATAGTTACCACGACTGTTGTATAAAACCCATTTATCTTGCTTGATTTCAGAGTGTCATGAACATGATGCATGTTATAAGTATTCCATACTCCTTAATGAAAGTGAATCCACTGTCATGGATACAAAAAGTCTGTCAATACAAAGGTAAGGGACAAGAATATACACAAGTATGCTTGATAGTCAAAATCAAAAGTACAAATTGATAATACAGCTGTATAGCTTTCATATGATGTATTAGTAATCTTCCCATTCTGATTGCAGCAAAAGTTGCCTGTGTAAAATCCAGAGACATGCACTGGGCATTGGTGGCACATCGAGATCAGAGAGACATCAACCTTTCGTCACTGCGTATGCTAATAGTGGCTGATGGTGCAAACCCATGTAAGCTATGCTTCTGCAGTCCCGTAGAGAATGGGAAGTGTTTTCTGTCTTGCTTTTATAATTTCAATCTTTAGCCGTCTTAGCTAAAGTATTACAAAGTGTAGGATTTGTCTACTGCAAACTGTATGATATTTACGGAAACAGTAATTAATTTTGGATTTTTTAAAAATACGTTTTTCTTTAGCTAATCCTGAAGCAAACTTGATATTCCACATAGCATAAGTTGCAGTAAATCCAGTTTTGTTCAACATGACAGTCATGTATAAAGACTGAAGTAAATAACCTTAAGCTACAGAAAGGATCAGAATATTTCTTCTGAATGATGGTGCTCAGATGCAAAAGTAACTGAGAATTTTAGGGGAATACTTATACTACTCTGGAGAACCACATCTGGATCATCATCTGAATTAATAGCGTGAACTGTTTCTCTGTATTATTTAAGATACCAACGTACAGGTGTTCTGCTTGTTTGTAGTAGTTTGCTTTGAGTTTCTGAATTAAATCTTAAATTTGCCTCTTCCTAAAAACCAAAACTCTAATGAAATTCATATTGTAAATCTAGCAGTAATGGCTTTTCTGCATAAGGATAGTGAAAGACCTTTACGCTCAAAGATTAGTCTGTATTCTCTGTATGCACACACGACTGTATATAGATACATATAGTTGTAGCAGCTATGACTTCTTTCCCAGTGGACACTGGTCCTTTTAAATTTTTTCTCCTGAAAAGCCTATGTATTCAATAGTAAGTTTGCAGTTTGAATAGCATCACTTCAGAAACCAGATTATTTTTCTCCTCTGATTTTTTTTCCTTTACCCCAGGGTCTATTTCTTCCTGTGATGCATTTCTCAATGTCTTCCAAAGTAAAGGTCTAAGACAGGAGGTCATTTGTCCCTGCGCTAGTTCACCAGAAGCTCTCACTGTGGCTATTCGAAGGTACTGTGTCACACCAGTGGAAATAGATCCGCTGTACTATATATGTGGTAATTTGAAATGAAAAATTTATTCAAGTATGAATCTGCATACTGAACTTCTGCATGACATTTTTAGTTTTCATTTTGTTTATGTCCAAAGAAGACATACAGGAAGAATTTGTAAAGTAGTAGTTTAACTTCAGAATGCTTTATAATATAGTTCCCATTTCTGTAATTTTGTCTAATTTTAAATGAAATAGACTGAAATAGAAAAGCTAGTTCTCTAAAAGAAATGGAAAAATTCCACCGTAAGCATAAAATTAATTAAAATGTGGGAATTAAAGTGGAACTGCTATTGAGGAAAATCATTCTTTAAAGTAGTCTGTTTAAAAAGAATTATGACATTCTGCAGGTTGTTTTCGGCTGACTGGCACTTTTTAACCACTCATAGACTCTCAGTAATCATCTGGAAATGCCCTTTGAGTCTGGAGGATTTGTGCCTAGAAATAAAATTGATAAATTATAATGAAACTATTAAGCCTTGTATACCTGAATGTCAGTATGAAGCAGTCACCTGTCATGAATGTTGTAGAACACAGTAAATGGCCTAAGTGTTGTCTGTTTTGGCAGAGTTTTCCAAAAGTTGTACCTTGAAAAGCAGGCATTTTGTTTTTAAGTTCAGATTTCTACAGCCATTTATAATTGTTTCACATGTTAAAACATGCAGTATAAAAGTGTAAAACACTGTAATAGCATTAAGTAAAATACTTCCTGCCACAAAGTTTAAAATGTGGTGTCCAAGTGAAATTTAACTAGATTTTCAATTAGCTTTTCAAGGAAACATCACAGGAAGAAAGATGTGAGGCCAAGAGTGTGGTTGTCTTTTAGCCACCACATTATTAGCCTAAAACATCTGAAAGCTATCCTTCAGGGACTTATCCTGTCTGGGTTAGTTATCTTTCTGTGAACGACAGGATCTCAGAAAGCCCTTCATTCAGCTCCACCAGCCTGTTCTCAGCTTTGTACCAAGGAGTATGTTGTTTTTCCCTTGTGATGGGTTTCCCTGCCATAGGCTGTACAGACCTTTGCTCCCTTGGAGTGAGTAAGTGCCGAGAGGAGATGGGTGGGCAGCGGATGTCAGTTGTGCTGAGTACCGATTAATGGGAAAGGGTTTTCATTTCCTGTGCTAGCCCTGGACAATCTGCCCCAATCGCAAGTTATGAAGTGGGAGAACTCACTGTATCTCAATATGTGATGGCTGGTGTGCCCTTTCTAGACTTAAACTCCGTGCTTGTAGCCATCTGAAGCACTAGAAACTCATTTTCAAATTAACTAGCATTGAGAGCTTACATAAAAAAAAAATTATTAGCACATAAAATAGTGGATAATTCCAAAAGAAAAAAAAATGGCATTTTTATCTTCAATGCCTTGCTGTATAATTACAGAACAGTTCTTACTACAGTGAATGTTACAGAACACGTATCTCTTTTTTTGAAGTCTGTTTAATGGTAGGATAATACCAGCTGAACTTAGGAGCTTTAGTATTTTTCATTTTCTTCACGCTACTCCACTGACAGTAAAGTCATTATCATACAAGTTCCAAAGAGTTACAGCTGAAGTATGCATTAGAATGACTCCCCGCAGAGCGCAGATCCAGAGAGCTCCATGTTAATGCTCTGACTCTTTCAAAATCTATGGTGTATTTTTACTCACCTTCCTGCAAGGAAGAGTAACAAAACCAATTCTCAGTTGAAATATCCTTATAGTTTAGAAAAAGACAGTCAGTAATAGACTAATAGGTACTTCAGCCTTAGAGCTGAATCATGAAGCCTAATATTTAAAGGAATGTGTCACGCAAATAATTCTGTACGGTATTCCCCTTTCGTTTATTGCATATTAGTCTGAACCTACTTGCTTAAGGGAGTGCAAAAGTTTAAGAACACATCTTTTCCCTTTTAAATGACTGGTGAAAAATAGTGGTAAAAGAGATTGTATCTGTAAATGGTAGTAGTAACTGTTCTCAAAATGCTCTACAGCTACTCAGTGTGAACAAATCAGCTTTGAAGTAGGTGCACGTTGTCCCTCTTTGACAGTTAAGGAAATTAAAGGGCTAAGTTTGTCTGGTGGTTTAAGCTAAATTTACTTAGTATATGAAGTAGGTGGAATTACATCTTTGTTTAGTTGTTCCTACCTTAATCAAAGGATCTATGTTTGTCTAGCAAGCAGTCTTACAGAATTACAAATCCAGTATTAGAAATATTGAATGTGTAAAGAAAATTTAAAATGTGAACTTTAAAATAAATTATAAATACATTAGAATGGGGTTATTTAAATCTCATCTTCTTTCCAAGTGATTTCTCTCCTGCTTGCCAGAGATATTTTTTTAGGGTTGTTCCCATGTGGATATCACGCACAGGACAAAATAAGATACCATATATTGCAGGATTGTTGCTGACAAGATACTTTCTAAGAGGATGTATAGGTGCTTAGCTCCCCACCTCACTCCTCCATCCTGGTTCTCTGTATTTCTTTTCAGTGTCAGATAGCTAGTTGCCTGCAAGAGGATACTTGAGCACTGTTAACTGGTGTCTTATTCAAGGATCCACCTCAGACTACCAGGATAGCAGAAGTACTCTCAAACAGCAGCTCTGAAATGCCTGTCCTGTGGACCCCAGGTTCTTGACACCAACTCTTTCCTTCTGCACCCCTGCCTCCATCACACAGCGCTTCTTGCTAACCTGGGCGAAGCTGTTACCTCAACCCAGGCCCACAGCAAGTGTAGCTCTGTTGACAAGTTCCCCCAACATGATCCTAGCAGGCCTTGTGCCTCCAGCTTCCCTCCCTGGTACCCCTGTCCTCTACACAGCCCGTGTCTTTCAAAGCTGTGCCCACTCTTCTTTTTAGCAGTCTTTGGATGTGATAAGTAGCACAAGAAAACCTATGTGATGGAAGCCTAGATAGTCCTTACTCCTAGAAGGTTGTGAGAAGCTGTGTATGCAGGAGGCCTTTCTTCTCATGAGCAGTAAATTGTGTGTTTTGGGGAGCAAGGATGAGAGGAAGTTGATCAATAATGTCGCTGAAAGTTCCTTTTACGTGATGGGAATGTTATTTATCACAGCTGCTTGTTTACTAGCACCATTTGTTATGGTCTAATGCATTTTCAAGCATGCCCACATCCTTCTTTGTTGACAATGTCACTTGAGAAATATGCCTCATAAAACCTATTAATTGAAATTTATAGTGCCGATCACTGCACGGCTTACATGAGCATGATTGGCTAAGGCCCATCTAATATTTCAAGCACAGTAGAGGAGAAATGTCATATAAAAGGACATTATCTGTTAAAAAATAGTTGTGTTATGATGGAATATTTAGGAAAAATACAGAATCTTGAACTAATTATTGGCTGGTTTATCCATCTTGAAAATAGCTGGAGTCTGGCTGCTCTACATGCATGCATTATCCACACTCAAATCACCATCACGTTAGCTTCCAGTTTTGCATTTTAAAATGCAGGACAGTACAAGAATCTTTCCAGACATGAAAAAAAGCCCTGACATATTCCCCTGACTTAATAACTTGCATACGTCAACATTCGTTTCCTCAAGCTACACTCGACATACATATAATTGTATCCACTGATAGAGCAGGCGGTTTTATATTGAAACAAGTTGACAGACAGCTTGTGCTGATGTTGTGGAATTGTACAGCGTGTCAGCAGTGAATCTGAGCAATCTGAGGCATTACAAAGAGGCTGCATCCACAACATTTTGACCATGACTGATGAAGGTGTAATTTGTTTTAATTTTCATGTGGTAAATTAGAATAGGAAGAATTCAATTATATGCATTAAAATAAAGATGGTAAAATCCTTGCAGCTTCCACAGATACTTGGCAGTGAATCTGTTACAGCCTAATTTCTTCTGTTTAGTAATTTTAAATGCTGAAGTATTGAGAGTAGGAAATCATATCTGTGATTTAAACACAGCATACTTGTATTCTAATCTTGGCTTTGATATCAGTGTGCTAGAGTTAGCCTTTTAGTCTGGAGGGTGAGTTTGGTTTCCTAGTTCTAGGTTGCCTCAAAATAGGTAACATGAAGAGAGTTATCAAGTTATTTACTGATCAGTTCCAAATATTTAGAGTGTAGTTTCCCTCCACATCATCTGCATTGCTTTTCAGGATTTTTAAAATAAGGCAAAAGGCTTTTAGTTGAGTCATCGAGCAATCTTTATAAACCTATCTGAAAATTAAATACAAGCTGTTTTGAGTAAATGTTAGGTATTCCTTTCATCTCTGCAGCTCCATATATGTGCGTGGCTACTGGATGGGAGAGTGGACACACATAATTACTCAGAAATGACTGAAAAACGGGATTCTGTCACATGTAGTAGGGGAAAAAAGAAGGTGAAATTTTTAACTCTCAAATAGAGGAGTATTTGCAATAGCAGTCCATTAAGAATAAGTAAATGCTTACATCTGCCTGATGGTGCACTAATGTTATAACCCATGGTTGCAGGCCAACAGATGACAGCAATCAGCCACCAGGAAGAGGAGTTCTGTCCATGCATGGTCTCACTTATGGAGTGATTCGAGTGGACTCTGAAGAAAAGCTTTCTGTTCTGACTGTCCAGGATGTTGGCTTAGTGATGCCAGGAGGTGAGGAACTTTCTTTGAAACTTACTAGCATTCATCAATTTAAGTAATTAACTGTAGAAAGTCATAGATGGATGTACTTTGCTGTCAGACAACAAACTTTGGGATTGGAACATGTGTATTTGAAAACATTTTAGTCCAAAAGGATTACCTTGTAAAACTTCATGGTTTGGAAATCCCAAAATTTCTTCTCTCTGTTTACCTCAGTGGCTGTCTCTGCTTGTGTTAGCAGTGTGTTTTAAACAACCTGCCGTCACATCAGAATATCCATTCCTTAACTGTGAGATGCTGGTAGAGAAGATAAGAAAGTTGGAGTACAATGTCTGGAGGCTATAAATATCCATAAGCCTGACACAGATGAGACTTGGTAGTGAAAGTTTTCATAACCTATGCTAAGGATCAACAAAATTGCTATCTGAAGGCTTGCAGAATGTTTTTCCAAAAATCTTGTGCTGTCACTGAGTTATTAGAAAGAGGAGAAATGACTGAACAGTTCATGTTGATAAATTCAAACTGAAACCGGTGCTTCTAAAGATGAAGATAAGATTTTTCATAAGAGAGAGAGATTTTAAATGAGCTGTTATAGGGACTAGAAAACAGTAATACTGTAGTTTTTCATAAGAGAATGACTGTTATGCACCAAATGAATAAAACACAATGATGCATCTTCTAAAATTTCAGTTGGACAACTGAAAATAAAGGAAGATAAGATTGGTTGTTGTCTATTAGTTATCATATAAGATATTATGTTATAATAGATATTATGTGCCATCTTGCACTTCATAATACATTCTGATCGTTTTAATAAAAGTACATGCTCCTGTTTATCCTCAGAGTGGCAGAAAAGTCTTTCAAGATTCTTTACACTTGTACTTCAAAGATGTGCTGATTCATTTCTGGTCTCCCTTGGTCATCATATCCTCTTTCCAACTGCAAAATCTACACATGCTGGACTCCAACTCCAGGGACTATAGCTAAAGCAGTGTACCTACTTCTTATTCACATGGCTGTCACATAAAATAGTGCATCTTCCTCAGACCAGTGCTTTCTGATCCCTCCCATTTAGCTCCTGTTGTCTCTGCAGTCCTGTAAGACCTGTGAGAGGGAGTCTGAGCTCTGATAAATTCTTAGTAAAACAACTGTACTAATCTGCTAGAATATCTTGATCTTTCATGTGATGTTACTTGCTACTTTGTGAGAGGTTGATTTCCTGCTTACCAGCCTCCCTGGCAGTATAATTATTATCAAGAACTCCGTTAGGGTATTTCATTTTCCACTGACTGCGGCAAATGTGGTTTTCAATATGCAAAACTGGGAACACAGTCACATTTCACAGCAGTATTACAGATCAACTGAAATTTTAGAGAGCGAGGCAAATTAGGTTTTGTTATCAGTGTGAAGACTTAATATCAGTGTAAAGACCTAAAGATCTTCATATAAATATGATTTGTATAAATATTTTTTGATATTTTTGAACATTTGATAGTGTTGAACACCTTAATGTTTGAGAAACTGATTGTTAGACATTAGTCTACATATAATTTATTTATGTCAACTCTACCACAATGTCTTTCCTGCAGCATTTATGTTATTCTGTAGTTTGTTTTATAATATTTTTTAAAGTCCTTTGCTCTCCTTCTAGCTATAATGTGTTCAGTGAAGCCAGATGGAATTCCTCAGCTCTGTAAAACAGATGAAATAGGAGAACTTTGTGTATGTGCTATTGCAACGGGTACATCATATTATGGACTCTCAGGCATGACCAAAAATACTTTTGAGGTAAGCTGACCAAAAAATGTTGTATAAAATCCTTTCTTTTTAACTTTTCTATTTTGAGATAGTATTTGACATAAAATATGGATAGTAATAATATTAGTATAGCAGTAATAATCAATACGTGTGGCTTGGGACCTATACTCTAACCAGATAATTTGCACCGAAACCCATTTCATTAAGGGCAATAGTAGATCTTTATGGGGGTTTAGTTTTGGCTCTGAAGAGCTTTTACCTTAATTTTGAAAGAAGATACCAGGGGCTGAAACAATCAGAAGGAAAGCAGAAATAACGACCAAGTTGAAAAGGTAATACTGCATGGGTCTATGAGCTAGCTATGTGCAGAATTTGAGTGTTGCAAACGGTAGGAAGGCTGCTAGGTATTTTTAAAAAGCATTTTCCAAGATTTCCACAACACAGCCAGGATTAAAGACTTGCATTTATACAGAATCCTGACAGATGTTTTTTAATAGACTAGACATGACTAATATCTCCTGCAAAATGCAGATCTGAATGTTGTAAACACTACGCATTAAATAATTAAGGGAGACTAGTGGATATGATTCTCCATTCTGCTATTGAAGCCAGGAATCCTACTATGCTATTGTGATCTGAAATTTGTTGATAGCTGATTACTGTGGTACAAGAACAATTGGCAATACCCAGTGTGAATGATAATCCTGGATTTGACATATTTCAGGGCAGAAAGGTACTTAGGTTCATTTTGTAATAGTTGCTGTAATTGTAAAATCATTCATAATTCATAACTGGGTCTGCAGTTTAACAGCATATTTAGACTGATTTAGACTTATTCCTAATGGTAAGCAAGTAAATTGCCATTGAGTGAGCAAGACCACTCATTTTAAAAAAGTTAAGCATGTTCTTAGGAGCCCTCTCCAGGTGGCCCTCTTTTCTGGTTTACTGTGTAATTCACGTTGCAGATATTAGAGTCAAAGACTTTAGTGTTCCTGAAATGAATTATGGCTGAGGATATATAAGCATTAAATCTGTTCAATAAGAGTCACCCATGGGCATCTGCCAGCAGAATTTGACCTTTCTTTTTAGATGAGCCTTGAAGGACACTATATAGACATGGTCTTCCACTTGCCATTGTCTTAAATAACTTGCCTTTAGACTATTTCAGTTTAAAGAAGTGACGGTGGGAAAGTGTGGTTGTGTCAGAATGTAGCTCAAAGTAGCTCACGTGCCAGAGTGATAACACTGTGCTTGTTAGGATAGAAAAAGCAGTAGAAATCTGTCTTGTGGAAGTCATGTGTGTGTCTGGTGTTGAAGCCTTTAGAGAGGCTCTGTATAGAGCTGTATTTTCACTTTTAGACATGCTACAGAAGGCATTATCACTGGTATTGTGAGGACTTAATTGACCTTAGATAACAATGAGGTCAGCTGCAAGAGTCATTAATTTATAGTACCTTAAAATAGCTTCACTTGTAGCTTGCTTATTTCTCTATATTGTGCTGGAAATGAGCATAAGATACTGAAAAGAACCTCTACTGTAACGTTTATGATTTAATCTCTCAGTAACCTGTACATAGCACCTCAGGTTAGCTGCTGTCTGCACAGCGTTTTTTTTTTATTCAATACTGTTTATGTTGATTTATATATTATTTTAAGGTCATAGATAATTTACAGAGCCATGGTTAGGGAAAATGTGTATGGTAAACAGAGTGGCATTGAACTTGCTGGGGTACTGAAAATTACACATGCGAGTCTAGGAGTTTCCTGACACTCCCTTTACGGTCAGTGAAGAGTAAAGACCATCACCAGCAACCTATTTACTTCATTCCTGAAGAGCTATCTGAGAGAGCGTGCCTGAAATATTTTGCAGCATGATCTCTGTGTATAGAATTGAAGACCTGTGTTTCTCTGTCTTACAGGTGTTTCCTATGACCAGTTCTGGTGGCCCTATCACTGAATATCCTTTTATAAGGACTGGACTACTAGGCTTTATAGGACCAGGTGGACTTGTCTTTGTTATCGGCAAAATGGATGGTTTGATGGTTGTCAGTGGAAGAAGACATAATGCTGATGACATTGTAGCAACAGCACTGGCTGTGGAACCGATGAAATTTGTCTACAGGGGAAGGTTTGATCCTTTCTTTTCTTAACACTATATAGAAATCCTTATTTTGCTTAGAGCAGGTGTAAGTGACCCAAAATGCTTTCAGGAGGCAGTGTCTAATCTGCACTGTGATTTCCCTCCATTGGTGTTCATATTGCTAGAACCAGGACACAGCAAAGGGAAGACTAAGAGAGTGTTGAGGCAGACTTTAGACACCAAGGTCCGAAATGATGAGTATTAAAATTTCCAGTTGAACAACTGGTTAATTCTGAATGTGTTGACTCAACAGGATCCTTTCATGAGTTGAACATTTCCAGTATGCCTATCACTGAAGTTCTTGAACAAGACAGCGGTTCTTGTGTGACGTTCCTAATGTGCTGAAACTGAGCAGGAGAGACTACAACTTCCAAAGAGCCTAATGCAGTAACATGCACTCACATTTGATCACATGGCAGACCTCTCACAAAATGATGTTTCAATTACTTTCTTTTAAGATGGGGCCAAAGAAGGTGCTTATGCTGGCTGTTATGTAACAGCCTAACAATAACTTTGGTGTGACCCAAATTTAGTGCTTTTCTTATCCCAAGAATGTTCACTTCTCCAACCCTGCTGTGACGTTATGCCTTTATTTACATGGTTCTAGAACAAAGCTCCCTATTTCCCCTCCAGAAGTTATCCAAAACTGTTGTTTCTTTTTCCCCATAAATAAAATAGTAATTGAGACACAAGTTGTCTGAGTAATAAATAACAAAATCATAGTTTTGGAGGATTAACTTAGAAGACGGGTTTTTCCATCTGTCCTGGCACTAAATACTTTTCCCTCCTTCTCTTCTATAGAATAGCAGTGTTTTCAGTGAGTGTACTGCACGATGAAAGGATAGTTATTGTTGCTGAGCAAAGGCCAGATTCCACAGAGGAAGACAGTTTTCAATGGATGAGTAGAGTTCTCCAGGTAATGCTCTTTATGTATGTTTGGAAGCTATTTTTTCCTGTTTTATATTCTTTTTATTGATCTTTCAGACCCCTAAGGTAACTGACATTTGTCTTTGCGTAATTGTAAGTCCATCTTCAGTTGCACTTGCACCTAATGAGCACAAAATTAGATTCTTCTGAGTGACAGTTCCTATCTAGGCCACACATATCCAGAGAGTGATCCTTTTCCTAATCAAAATGCCTTAAGAAAACAGGGATGAATTGAAGTAATAACAAGAAGAGAGTAGCGTACAATTTATAAGGATGTAGTTATTCATTACTTCAAAAGGGTAATGAATGAATGTATTACATACTTTTACTGTCAAAAGCTACCAAAGTCTCTTACTAAACAGTTATTGGCTCTGTTATGGAGTTCACCTCATCAAAAGTAAATATAAGTATCTGAGCTAGATCTCCAGATATTTTTTTTTTGATCAGTGAGAGAGAATTATGTTTCTAGTGCACCATGTTGATAGCTAAAATAAACTGGGTGAAACACAATCTAAAAATGCCAATTTCTGTCCACCAAAATGAAAGGAGGTGATTGATTAGCTCAGATCTAGGTATCTACAATGATGTTATCTGCATAGAGAACACCTATTGCAAGGGATCCCATTCCAGCTGTCTGGTGGATCATGCAAGGCACATACCACTGTGGTGAAACACTTGGTGATACTGTTCGACAGTTCGACAGTGTGACCAGAAGACAGAAGCTACTGAGTGCTAAAAACTTCTGATCTTACGTGTAGCAGTCCAAGTTAAGGCAATATCATTACCATACTCAAAATTTTTTTCAACTCTAATGTCCACACACAAAAAATTAGATACTTTAGATAGCACATATTCCATCTCTACCATCTCCATGGTTAAGCCAATTCTCACTCAAAAGTGGTACGTTTAATGGAGACGTAGTGAAATTAACTCTCTCTGTTAGTACCTTGTGAAATGGTCTCAGCTCTGTCTACAGCTTGTCACCTGTTACTTCCACTTCCCTTTCCTACCTTCCTTTCTGTCCTTCCTCAAGGACTCTTCTCAGGTAAGTATATTGCAAACATCTTTTTTGCTTTGACCAAAAGCCAAAGAAAAAGGTCCTGCGCAATTCAGAGAAGATGTTTTTATCCGTTATTGCTTTGTACTGAGTAAGAAAAGGAATCTGTCTACAGTATCCTTGAAGAAACTGAACAAATAAACTTTCATCCATCTCAAGACAGGTTTATCTGCTCTCCTGATTTAAAAGATAGCTACATTTCATACAACTAGAGGCATCTCATATTCACAGTAGATCGAAATTATTACCAAGAAAAGCTAGAACCTCTAGCTTTTCCATCACACAGAAAACCTTTGAAGCACCTAGTAGCACACAGGGCAACTATTGTAGAAGGAGGGGCCTTTGGATTGCCCATGCTTTGATAATTTTTATTAAGTATCAAGCTCCTAAAGAAAAGGTTGAAACTCTGGACTTACACTTCTCCTGTTTTGTCAGCTGAGCATTTTTCTGACTTTTACAGAAATCATGTCTTACACCATCACAGCCAGTAGAATTCAGTACTGAAAACTGTGGGAGTCCTGTGTCAAGTTACTCCTGCCAGAAGTCAATCCTGTTATTCTGAGTATGATCAAGTCACAGCAGTGTCTGAGAATGGTAGGCCGTATATCAAAGTATACATACGTGTGGCTGCTTTCATCACCCGTATGTGAAGTCTGCAACTCTGGCACACGTCACTATGTGAACAAGAAGTTTCTGGTTCCACTTCAGCTGAAAGCAGAGATGGAGGACAGAAGCCAGGAACATGTGGGATGCTTTGTGTCTCCTTCCCAATCAGAGTTTTAATGACAGATGTCAGGAAGTGATAACCACTTGCATCTGAATCATCTGCTAGTGATGAGCAACATACCAATACCAGACTTGTGTCATGACTCTCCATGATGTCCATGATAAAAAACTCTACGAAGTTGCTACTCATTTCTGATGATGTTTGTGGGACTCATCTGACACCCTGCGTGTGCTGCTCTGTGCCAGCCCTGCCCTACACTGCCTGCTTCTGCTGTGTCTTGCTGCGTCTCCTCTTCCCTAGAGATGAGCTGCATCAATTTTCAGAACTTCTTTCCAGTGGGTTGCACATACTCTGACTCTCCCTGACCCTTTCTGTTCCTCAGCGGAGGGCTGAAGGATGGTAGAGCTGCTCTATGTGCAGGACTATGTGGGACTGCATCTATGGGTTTTAGCAGAGGCATGGTTGGGAGGGAGTGGTCAGGCTGGGTATAGACTTTCTTGACAGTAGTGAAGGAGGAGGGTATTTTAGTGACAGTGTGAGTGAAGATCCCAGGTCACTCAGCAGTTCAGTCAGATGGATCCTAGATACTTATTTGTCTCCCTGCTGCAAACTGATCTGACCCTTCAGGCAGGGTTGTGGTTCCTGTACCTGGCAGACTGGATGTTAGTTTTACCAGTTCCAGTGTGCTGGCAGGACTTGACAGGACTAGTCAAAGCTAGGAGGTCTACTGCGGAACTGGAGAGTGTCTGCCTGGAGAAATTTTGTCAGAATGACATGCTTTCTCAGCTTGAACAACTAGCCGTCTGGACTCTCTGCAAGTTCTAGTATCTCTAATTTGTTTTCTCAATGAAACAGAGAGATAAAGATTTCAGATACCTGTTCACTTCTGGCCGAACAGAGTCATTTCAAAAACCAAGCCATCTCATCAAGAGACATAAATGCCAGCAGTATTAAAATTGACTGTTACTCTTCTTTCTCAGAATTTTAAGCCTCAGTTCATCAGTGCTCATCCTTGTGAAACAAAGTCATTCCCTGCTTCAGAAATGTGCTAGACTTGTAAGTGTGAAAGGTGACAATTTTGAATGACCCATGACATCAGGCATTGTGCTGCAGATGTAGCTATCAAAGGAGACAGTTCAGAAGTCACTGAGGAATCATTATATAAAAACCCTTCATCCCATCCCAGCTGGGTGTTGCTTTCCATTCACCAAATCTAGGAGCCACACTGGTTGACATTTGAGTAAGAGTGGTTACTTGCCCTGTAACAGTTTTCCTTCAAGCTGATGTCAGGTGAGGATCCTATGATTTAGCACTGCTTCTCAGAACCTACAAAATGATAACATTATGATTAGGAGGTTACGATGGTTACTGCCAGAAACATAAGACATAGTGTGTTGGCTGTCATATATATCTCGCTATTGCTGATCTTTCAGGTAAGGTGTCTGTAGACCAGCAGCGAGGTCTTCCAATACTGCTGTGAGATCTACCGCTACTAAAACTGCAATATTTGTAAAATAAGTAACTACTTTATTATTCTTTCTTACAACATTTTCTAATCAAATCAATAAAAAATGAAGCAAACAGAAGCCAAAAGCAAAGTGTTACTTAGAGTATCTGTAGAAGTAATCAGTAATTTATTGGTCTACACTTAAGTACATAACTATAAATGATTATTTGATTCTCAGAATACAGATTGTATCTTCAAGGCAACAGACGTATGCATTCACTTTTCTCACAGTTAAAAATTAAAATGCAAGTTAAGTAAATTATATTTTTGAACATTAGCTACTCATTAGAGATGCTGTCTGTAATTTGTTTCTCAGTCTGCATGAGTGGCTGAAGTTGTTTTTCTAACTCACTGCAATTTTTGTTACCAATGTAAGGAAAATAACTAGTTAAAATGTGTATGGAATTAAAATGTAGGTGAATGGATATTCATGTTTACCTAAAGAAGTTACATAGATACTGTACGTTACAGATTTCATGAAGGTGATGCAGTTTATTCCACTTGTCAGACAACGAACATGGTTACTATAAGATTCAAAGATGTTATTTCTCAGGTTTTCATTCAACAGATTTTTTCTTCAAGTGGATATTTTCATAGTTTTCCCTTTTATTGTTGTCATTTCCCATTCCTGCCTGTAAATCTTTTACACTGTAATCAGACAGTGAAACAGTTATTAGAAAAAATTTAAAAATTCATGAACTACATAAATCAGTAGGTATATGGTGATATACATGCAACCTTTGAAATTTTTCTTTGCTCTCCAAGATGGACTAGATGTTAAGTTGATAGGAATGTTTTGAACTTTAATTCTGAGAAGCGTGCAGGTTAAAACCAGTTTCACGTGAGTTGCCACCCCATTTTAGGAATAAATCTCCAGAATACATGCTACTAACGTGTGCCTAAGAGGAATGCCTAGGTAGCATTTCTTAATAGATTTCTGTGTATTTATCACCAGCTTTTTGTTTGCTTTTTTATCTTCTGGAATGAGTGTAATAACGTCTGGTACATTTCCGTCCACCTGTTCCCATTGAAAAGAACCTCCTTATCACTGACATTGCTGAAGCGTCTTTCCGTTGGCAGTTGATTATTAGGGTTGGTTTATGCAGTAATTCAGAACAACATGTGCTTATTAGAATGATGAAAAATTAGCCTTTCATTAAAATTAACTTCCTGCTTTTTTTAGGCTATTGACAGCATTCATCAAGTGGGAGTCTACTGCTTAGCGCTCGTACCAGCAAACACACTTCCCAAAACACCACTGGGAGGAATACATCTGTCGGAAACCAAACAGCTCTTCTTGGAAGGATCGCTGCATCCTTGTAATGTGCTGATGTGTCCCCACACATGCGTAACAAACCTGCCCAAACCAAGGCAAAAACAACCAGGTAAGATGAGTGAAGGCAAAGGGACCATGACTTAATGCTGTGTCTTCATGATACTGTATGGAGCAAAATCAAAGAACTGTTAATGCAGGTGAGAATCAGCTCGATCAGCTGTTCCTGTTAAATATTCCAGGTGTGTTAAGAACAATCTTTTTTCACAGAAGCTAGAAGTACCTTCACAAAGAATGCAAGGAAAAATGCTCCAAAGACCGAAGTTTAGTAAAAATGAAGACATTTTTATCACTCTACTGAGACCACACCTGGAGTTCTTTGTAAATTCCTGGTCAGTTATGTTTAAAGAGGATGGACTGAGGCCAAAACAGAGAAGGATAAAATCTTGATGTATTTGAAGGCTGAGTTTGTAAAGTAGAAACAGAGAGGAAGAGGACTCTTGACACTAAATAACAGCATTGGAAGAAGAGCAAATACTTAGAAACTGGTCATGAATAAATTAAACCCAAGAATGAGCATAAAGGTTTTTTACCTGAGTAGGGAGGTTCTAGATTATTCTTACAGCAGATCTATTTGAGGGAAAACCCTAACTAGTTTTAAGATGATTCTTCAGAACTTCTGCCACACTTTATGGAGAATATTGGATGAAATGATACAGTAAGGCACTGACTCAATAGACAGAAAGCTCATGTATCCCGCTGTCATCCAGTCACTGGTTACTCATGCCCAATGAACAAGTGAATGTTAGCAAATTTTTTACTTTGAATCCAATTGCAGATTTTAGTACTTAGATTAATTTCAAAGATTTCTGGATCTGTAGCCTCAGGCTTAAGACCTGAATTCAGCTACATTAGGCTAAGTGTTGGTTACTTTCCATGTTTTTACCCTCTGGATCTCCAATATGGGGACTATCCATCATGAATTCAGTGCAAGTTTGCCAAAACTGTCACCTTGTTTCTTTAAAACCTTTGGACAAATGTTTCAGAAATCAAAACTACAATCTCAGTTTGCAGATACTGGGAATGTCAGAGGTTAACAGTGTTTGTCACTAACTTAACAAAAGCAACGGAGCCTTTAACTGCAGTGCTCACTTCAGTATTTCCATGTTGCTGCTTTGCAAAGTAATCACTGAATTATGATCAGTGCAGTGGAGATACTTATAGATACATTGTGTATATGTTATATATATCACTAGGTAAAAGCAATGCCAGGAACGCAAAACCCAAACTGATAGCATCACATGCTCCCATTTTGCATAGTTGTGACATACCCAAGGGATACTGCTTTCATATTTTTAAAGCAGAGTGGTCTGTAGATGTTGTTTATTGTATGTTATCTGGTTACTTACACGTCTTTTAATTTGACACTTATACCACATACCATCACTGAGGCAAGGCTTAGACATCATAGACTAGAAACAAAGCCTGGTATCAATGGCAGTTTATCAGTAATCCATGCTGGAGAAGCAGGAAGCAAATGTTAACATGAGCGTAAATGGTATCAGTGAGACAGATATTTTTCCGTAATGGCAGCAACAAAACATCTATGAAATCCACCTCATGGAGAAGTGTCAGCTGTGACATCTTCCTTTCTTCTAAAGTTAAGATATTTTTCTTCAGTCCCTAACTTGTGCTAAAGGGCTTGCGTATATTTTATCATATGCACCATCTGACTTCCTGGTCCTTGTCACTTCATTCTATTACATTACAGAATTGCTAATAGGGATGCAGCTTAGCCCAGGGTACAGAAGGGAGAAATAGGAACATTGTTTCCAAAGCCTGGATACATGTCATGTGGCTTAAGGCACTTGAATGTACATGCCTAAATTAGGAGCTGAATTTTCCAATTTCCAAAGGTTCCTTATTTCAAGGCAGACAAGATGTATCTCTGGCTGTAGGGAGCCCATGCTAAATGGCCTTCCCGGTCAGATATGTTTAGCCGGGATTAATCCAGGCCTGCGTATCTTCCAGCTACTACTGGTCCATCAACCAAAGTTTGTATCAGCAGAGCTGTGCTGAAGGTTTGGTGTTGTGGATAGCAATGAGGAAAATATCGTGTAATGCAAAAGAAATAACAAGAATTTTCATCCACAAATGAAGGATTTTTCTTGCACTTAACACATTTCTGCTTTATTCTAGAAATTGGCCCTGCCTCTGTGATGGTGGGGAACTTGGTCTCTGGAAAAAGAATTGCACAGGCCAGTGGTAGAGATTTGGGACAAATAGAAGATAATGACCAAGCCAGAAAGGTAAGCTAAACTTTCTGATGTGGTTTATGTTTAGCTAGTTAGCATGAGGACAGTTAGCAGCACATAGATTGTATTATTATTATTATTGCAGAATTTGTTAGTGGCTTTTTTTAATTCACTCTAATATATTTCAGAACCCCCTTTACAGATAAATATAAAATAGACATGAGAGGGAATCACTGCATTTCATTTGTATGGATTTTTTTTTACAAGTTTACATGGGACAACAGAACAAACATGGTGGAAAGTGTTAACATGGCTGCTGCCAGAAATCACTCTTTATTATATCTTTTTTACTAGTTCAAGTGGAATCCAGGGAATTTTGTTTGCCTATATGGTTCTGACCTTATTTGTTGTTATTTTGATCCTGTAGAATCAAGTTGAAATTCAGCTATTTTGGGGGCTTATGTGAGTAATTAAATTAGTAAGTTCTAAGCTGTATAAATATTTATATATTTATAGTAAGAGAAAGAAAGGAAGCTAAAGAATTAAAATTGTGCTTAGATTCAGAGAGATCAGTAAGAAGTGGTTTATTGCTTTGAAAGTATATGTAGTAATACATCATAATCCCAGCAGTGGCTTCACTTCCAGAGACATCCCTGCTACCATGCAAAAGCACCTTGCTATAAATATATCTGATGACAAGAGAATTAATTCATGTTTAGTGCTTCTGGGTATTGATGTAAAATGTAGCATATAAATAAGAAAGACATAGCTAAACTAGCAAAAATAGTTATCTGGTTTTAAATCCAAAAAGTTATTTAGTGTCATGACTATCACTCTGCTTTATTTTAGTTCCTCTTTCTCTCAGAAGTGTTGCAGTGGAGAGCTCAGACTACTCCTGACCATGTGCTTTACACTCTACTCAACTGCAGGGTAAGAAGCTGGGACTGTTACTCTGACAGGCTGTGGTGTGGAAAATGGCACGCTGGTATTTCAGCTGCACCTGCTTGTGCTATGGCTGAATATGATCTTTCTGTTTCTTTTCCCATTAATACTCTGCTGTTATATTAAATGTTCACTGAGGCAGAAAGGAAGAGAGAATAGTCATTGCCAGTTGTCAAAATATAGATTGCTTTTGTATCAGACAGCACGCCTTACACATTTCTCATTTCTTTTTCCACCACATATATGTTGTGGGTGAGCTGACACTGCGAATCTATTTCAAAACTGATCATTCCTATACCAGAGACTAGTATTTAATACTGCTCACCATCCTGATTTCCAATTTGAAAAACACAGGCTTGGCAAAATCAAAACATTTTCCCTAAATAAAACAGTGATTGTTGGTTTTGAGACTGGACCATCTGGGGGAGGTGTGAGAATGGGAAAAGGAGGTGAAAAGAAGAAGAGAGAGGTCCAGAATCCAACCAGGTCTACAGGGGATCACTAGTAAATCTCTCTGCATAGCCTATGTGAGGTGCCAGCCTGGCACAGCATTTCATTGCTTATCAAAAATGAATTAATGCATGTCACATAGTACGGAACTTGACTTTACTAGGAGTGGGTGATTACAGACTTCCTAGATGACTGTAGATGACAAAACAATAATTCCCAAGACCACTGTAGAGAATGAAAGTCTGATTTCAAACCATCCCACCACAGTACATCTAGACACATCTGTCAAAACTGGGAAACATACATAGTCCATGAGGGTCTCCAGGAGACAAGGGGCCTGGAAGAGTGCTATTCCCCTGGGCCACCTGGAGTAACTGGTGTTGTCTCAGCCCATGTGGTCCGTACTCAACTTGGATGGGTTCTTAAACCTCCAGTAATTTATGAACCTTTGTGAAATGACCACTTACTGTATTCACAGGATATGCTTCACCAGCCCATATTACAGCACTGGTACCAAAGTGCAGTTTGAGGCTACCAATAAGTCATTAAATTACCTTTTTTAAATTAAGATTAATAGCTGATATTATGTGAATGTATGCAACTTGACAGATAATAGTAAAGTAGTAACGTAGTTGTCTGTGACAAAGTAGAAGACTTGAGAGGCAATGCTGTTTATAGATTCAATATTACACCATTAAAATAGTGCATTGTTCTGTCCTGTAAGTTAGGGACAAAGATGCTGTGAGAAGGAGGCAATGATATGTACGGTCTCATCTCCACACAGGCTGTGACTTTTAAGCTTCAGATAAAACCAGATTTCCCATGCTGGCAGGAGGGTTCAAACAGTGGGAGGGAAGGACACAATGTGCAAAACTAAAATTAGCAAAATAATTTATCATTCCATAGAAGTGAAAAATGATTGAATTTTGAAATTCAGTTTCTCCACTATTCTCAGTGTGGAGTATCTTATCATATCAACTTTGTTTGAGAGATGTAATGCTTTATGGAGAGATTTAATGTTTTATGGGAAGGAGTGACAGGTCTGATGGCGTTTAGCCTAGGCAAGTTTTATTACCCATCTTGAATTTTAGATCTGACTTGCAACTTTTCCCTTTTTGTGTTCCTTGCACATTGTCTGTACACTTTGTTCTAAAACATCCAGGCATCTAGCAGTGGATGACTAATAGAAATCCACTGAGATTAGTGTTTTCCTGTGACCCAAGCTTTTTGAGAACTTGAAATATTTCAAAAATAGCACAGTGCATTGTTTTTAGTGTGCTTCATGAAGGATTGCAACACCTTTACATTGCAAGACAGCTTGTATAAAAGACATGAAGGGAATAGTTGCCTGGTGCTTGCCGATGATTCTTGTCCAACAACAGGATTCTCCTTCCCTGCACTTCATATAAACACTGTCTTTCTGCTGGTTCACGTGCAGCAAGTGCCAGAAGTCTTAAATGTAAACAAGTTTTGAAGAAATTTACATGATTTGCAGCCGTTCCCTTTCTGTGCCAGTGAGGTCTGTGCTGCTGATGTATGTGGGGATACAAAGGGTCCTTCTTCCCTTGACAATGCAAACAGGCAATTTCTTGAAAGAAGGAACAAAGAGTTTAAGCACATTCCTACTGGCAGGTCTACAGTGACAAGGATACCCAGACCTCAGGTCACTTTGGCCTCAATTAGGGCTGGACAAATGGAAGCCATCTCTAGTCCAGCATCTATATAGTTGCATATGTCTTTAGAGGAGGCTTTCTTAGTGAAATGATCTCTGCGTTGTTCAGAAGACTGATTAAAATTGCCTGAAGTGCATTTCAGTAAGCGTGGTTGCTGAAGACGGTGAAGAGGAATGCTAAGCCTTGACTTTGTCCTTTTTATTTTCAGTTAGATTGTCCTCTTTGTTGACAGTTTATAATAAAGTTTGTAAATGCCAAGTAATGCCTGGTAAGGTGCCACTACTTCCAGTGCGAGTCCTTTATCAAATGACTGTCTCCTCTCTGAAGCTTGTGGTCAGTAAATATTGCGGTGGTGCGTGGGATGGTGGTGGTGGATAGAAACCAGCAATCAGGCCAAATGCTTATTATTCCTTGCCTTGTTAAAATAGAGTCTAAGGAATATTTAGATCTTCTTGCTTTCTGTCTTAATAGGATAGTGATAGAATATTTTTGTTTGCGTTGCATTTTTGATACATTGTTCTTTTTAAGTGTGTGTGTGTATGTATATATATAAAATTAACTTTTTTTCCCCCGGTTTTTTCAGACTCCCTATTTTTACATGAACTTAGTGCTTGTGATAGGTGCACTATCCTATCGGTCAGTCTGTCCGGCACGTTCACTTTTAGACTTCTCTTCTGAGGTGTCAGCTGTGGTAGTGAATTTTGTGATACAGATGTATATATTCCTCTAAAAATGTATTTGTATGTGTGCGTATATACACACTTATATATATTTAGGAAATGCAAGAACTCTAACACTCATCCAATTTTAAACACTGTATCTGTTTGATAGTTTTGGGTTAGCCAAACTCTGTAGCATATTGACACTTCTCCCTTTTTTTCATGCTGATCAGTTACTCAAATTCAACAAATGCCTTTCTCCTCTGTTTCATTTATATGCACATGCTTAGCTTTTGTTCCAGACTAATTCTTTTCCCTGTCACCAGTTATTGTTTTCTCCTGTGTCTTTTGTCTCTTGTCCTTTAAAGTCTTTCTGCTGTGCCATCTGGCTTTACTCCAGCATGCAGACAACAAAGTGCAATTTTTAGGATTGCCCTCCACAGATTCTCCAGATCTGCAGGGTCCATAAAGGCACTTTCCTGGCTGTAGGAGGAATGCTGCCTGTATAGCAAGGGACATACAGGTTACATGGGTAGGATATTAGCATGCTACCATACTCCCTTGGTTGGAGAAAAAACACTGTTGAGCATAGAAGGTACAGAGAAAGGAATAGAGAATGTTCCTCTGTTTTACAAACATCTTTTTTCCTTCCAACTACAGTTTGGCATAAGGCTGAAGGTTTCCATATTTAAATTGATTGCATGACATACTGTGGCTGCACCTCATCCAGTAACCCAAGGTGCAGAGGAAAATAGAGTTTCAGCACATTGCATTATCTTCTATGACATTTATCTTTCCTCCTGTACAGGGAACAATAGCCAACTCATTAACATGTGTCCAGCTACATAAAAGAGCTGAGAAGATAGCTGTCATGTTGATGGAAAGGGGACATTTACAAGATGGAGACCATGTGGCTTTGGTTTACCCACCAGGTAAAGAACTGCAATGTTTAGTACCTTGGTAGTCCCAGAAGTTTATCAAGATCCTTTAGAACAGTGCTACATTGGTGGTGCTACCAACCTGTAAACGATGTTAATTGGCAAAACACAAAATACTTGCTTTATGTACATTTCTTTGAATTTAGTTGTGTATTTAAAAGAATTTCTCTTTGTGTATGCACATAGGTATTATTTCTTGGGGTTCAGATTAAGATTAACCTGTGTTTTTAAAACCTGTCTCTTAATAAGCAATCAAATTTAATTGCTACTTTTCTTTTAATTTGCTGGTAATATACTATTTTATGACCACACAGTTCTGCTAAAATATTCCATCTCCTGAATGTTCTTAGATTCACCTGTTGAATTCCGTCTTGGGAGTGCCACATTTCATGAGGGTAAAGCAGCCATACCTAGGAAGTAATCCATGTTGTTTTAGAGTAGAAATATGATGAATAAATAGCAGATTAGTAAGAAATATCAAATTATAATAACTATTTTCTGTATAGAACTTTAACCTAGACAGGTCTCTGTGGCTTGGATTTCCATCTTTTGACAGAAGGGCTTTTAAGCTTATGTTAACTGGTACCGTGTTTGACATTTGCTTGAAATTGTTTCTGATGTAGTGCTGCTCTTTTAACTTTAGCATTTCCTGTGTGTTGGTGCAATAAATAGTCTGATTTAAGGTCTGTATTGTGATGTTTGGTTTGTAAGGACTGCAAGATACTGGTTAAATCTTTATAGGAGTAGTTTGTCAACGGTTAATATGAGAAAACTTTTTCCATAAAAGAAAACTAGTATTTTAAAGTCTTATTTTCTGTATTTCACTTCCCATGAGTAAATCATTTTATTGAAGTAACAATAACCTAGAAGTACTGCAGATCCTTTTCCACTGAAAGAATAAAACAGCCCCCATTGTCGTCTTATCACAGCCTGTGTACAGCAGCAGGGAGCTATCAAACAACAGTATTCAAGGGATCTTTGTGCTGTTGTCTGTTCAGCCTCCTTAGATAGCCTGAAGTGTGCTGTCCACAGTCTGTCACCTGCAGTCAATATTTATATTGAACAACACATAATTTTATGTTAGAAGCAGTATTTCAAAATCATGGCTTCTATTTTTACTGTAAAATTTCAGGTAGGTAAGTCAAAGCTGCATTTCTGAGGTTAAAAATTACATCAGAAAGACTATTTAATGAAACCTCCAGATGTACTATCTGCACCTGGTAGGAACGGGCATCATCCTACCTCATCCTTTTGCTAGGGCATCCCTCTTCTTGTAGACTCTGATTTGTCTATAAATGTAAATTTAGGAAGATAATTAATCTGTAGAAATCAGTCTTTTTAACAGGTTGCTTCCTGATCATAAAAGTGGAGTTCACCTAAATTATGATATCTGGCTGCAGCTTTGTGTCGCCTCTGGTTTTTCATGCTTAGAAGAACAGTACGACTGAAAGGAATCAGTGAAGCTGAACAAATACTGACAAGGGGCTGAAAAAGAAGTCTGTTAAAGGGTTTAGTCGCTCATTTAACCTTCTGAGTTGAGTTCCAAGTAATATGTATGCTGACATAGGTGTCTGTGATTAAATGATTTGATTTTCAGGGGAGAATTTTTGTTTTGTTCTTCATGCAGGAATAGACCTGATTGCCGCATTTTATGGATGCCTGTATGCAGGCTGTGTGCCAATAACAGTTCGACCTCCACATCCCCAGAACATAGCTACCACGTTACCTACAGTGAAGATGATTGTGGAGGTGAGCAGACACCTGAAAGTGCACAAGTAGATTAAATGGGTGATGGATTTGCTTAGTCTTTAGGAACAGTAACTTAAGTGAGTAGTAGTGTAGGTTGAGGAGCTGTATCCCTTCCAAAGATTCAGGACTTCAGTGTGTTGCAGAATCAACACTGCTTGACAGCACACAACCTTCTGACTTCCTCTGTCACATTTTGCTGCAGTTATGCTACTCCTTTCAAGAAATATATTTGAAGTTCTTTCTTGTATTCAGCTATATGCCAGGAATGGTAGGATTCCTCACCTGGCAACGCTACACTGACTATTGAAAAAAATCCCAATGGAAAGGTTAGCTTGACTTGATGATGATTTGTGCTCAGCTCTATCTATACATCTAATTGTTTTGCAGTTTGTAGCAATTTCAAAGTTCTGTTGTGAAGATGTTGGTCGGTATTTTGTTTCATCCAGAGAAGTTTTACTCAGACTTTTTCATTCAGTGCTTTCTTTTGGTATTTTGACTTTGTCTAATAATGTTTAGTCTTTGTGGCACATAAATAACTGCATTGTGCTTGTTACTGAGGGAAATAAAATTGTTGCAAAGAGATAGCCTTTTACATCTGGCAGTTTCTAATCTATGGAATGAAATTCTGAGTCTCTGGAAAAAACAAGTTGAAACAAATGTGATTTTAACATTTCTAATTAATGTTGTTATTTTCAAATGATAACTGCTAGAGATGGTTACCATTTGTGGCTTTCCTATGACATCAGATGCCACAAAGTACCAGTAGAGGTATGAGAAATTGTCTTCAGGGTTCTCGTTATTTAATATTTTGGTACTCACAGTTTTTAAACATCAGTTGTTAAAATTATAGAAGTGATGTAAAAGGAGTTATTTTGTTTTTCCTTTCATGTTTAATAGCCAAACTAGATCTGTTTGGTTTCGTGATTAAAAACTAGGACAGGTCTAAGCTGACTTATAATCATTGTCCTTTCAATAGACTAACTTTAAATAAAATGTTGACATTTATTAGCCATATTAATGCCAGTTTGTATTAAAAGCTTCTCAGCTCTGTTTTACAGAAGATTTTCTTTCATTTTAGAGAGCAATGACCTTGCAGAAATTAAAATATTGAGATGGTTCCTTCATTGCCAATGCAATCATACAAATTTCCGGGTGTATTGAGGTCAAAACCTGCTCTGAGGTGCAATATGTCTACACAGCACCTTTTGAAGACAGTAAGAATGACTTCTGAGCCAAATTTGGCCTACATAATTGTGTTTTGGTGATGAACTGGTAGTAGTAAAATATAACTGAACATTATTGAGCCCAATCTCGAGCAGTTGCTAACCTGTAGCTAAGATGTCTTCTTTGTCCTTCCCACTGTGCTATCTGTTTACCTCCAACTTGCTATTCTCCAGGCATGGTCATTCTGTATTTTAATGAACCTCCTGATCTTCCAGATAATATAATTCCTGAGAGGGCTAGTAGCCATCGACTTTTGAAATTCCTTTTGTTTTATGGCTTCGCTATGTCCCAAATCAAGATTTTCATAGACTAAGATTAGCTATGTAATTACCTTGCCTTGCCATGACAGTGACATGATTGGATTGAGGGATGCTGTAGTGGTTTCATGTGGCTTCACTTTTAGCTTGAAATACTTAGATTGTCCATACAGGGAAATTGTGGGGTTAGAGGAAGTAAGTAGAGCTTGGGTCAGTGCTTGTATGCTCCTAATTTCCTCATGTGCATTATAAAGTTGGCCTATAAAGTTGACCTCCATGAGATTACTGTCAACAGAAGCTGATCTCTTCTGCTCAGTGGTAAAATTTAGTGTACATATGGTTACTGATTTCCTTAGGTTGAACATTGGAAATTCAGTGTGCAATGAAATGTTTCAGATTTCTTAAAGAAAAAAATACTCTTAGCAATATTTGCACAGATTCTCAAAGTTTGGGGAAAAGAAGAATGATACTGCCTTGTCAGTTTTTCCTCTGTACTATCTTCAGTGATTAACAGTGTTCATATTTATGTTAGGTTGAATATTTCCTTAGATATATTAATTTTTATAATCAGTAAGAAATATTCTTGTAGTTGCTACTTATGAATTTTTAAAAATAACAAATCTAAAAGGAGAATACCTTCAACGTGTGTCATCTAAAATTCAGTGCAGATGGTATTTGCAGTAAACTCACCATTTCATTTCTTAGTGCCACTTGTACAATTTCTGGTTAGAGCTACTTTGTTCCCAGTAGTTTATCACTAGCACAGGAATTGGAAATACATGGCTAACATAAAATTGACTTAAGATAGTAAAATTATTCATATAGATGTCAGGCTAGGTTTTGCTTTATTTGAAAATACTATTTTTAAACCGAGATACATTACCATCACATAGGAGATGTTTTGGTCACAGTCTTCTGCTGCATTCTGGGTTCATAACTGATACAATGTGTTGGAAAAGTCACATTCTTACTATTAAGGTGCCTTTAGTTTCGTTACAACACTCTTCTCAAAGTGCAATTTTCATGTAATTTGTAAAACTCGCATGACTTTGTCTGCTTTGTGAGCTACATTTTTTGTGCATCTTTCCACCTCCCGACTGGAAAATATAAGACTAATATACCTGTGGTCTGTTCTGGCAGAAAATAAATCATGGTCTTGCTCATTTTCATGGGCAAATTAATCAGTATCCCATTGCATTATTATTTATTTCTTAAATTCCTAGGTGAGCCGCTCTGCCTGCTTAATGACTACACAATTAATATGTAAATTGTTACGGTCGCGAGAGGCGGCAGCAGCAGTGGATGTCAGAACATGGCCTCCGGTACTAGATACAGGTGAGTACTAAGGCTCGGGGACCTCTGTGTCTTCTTTTATCACTGTATTTGTCAAGCACTCAGAAGTCTATCTGTCATGGGAGTAAGATACACACATATTCTTTCTCTATTTTCACTAGACGATTTGCCAAAGAAGCGACCTGCACAGATCTACAAACCTTCTAACCCTGAAACGCTTGCTTACCTTGACTTCAGTGTCTCCACAACTGGCATGCTAGCAGGGGTAAAGGTAGGGACTTCTTGTTAAAGCTGGCATTC